TGCCTGGCTGTCCGCCCGTCTCCTCACCTGCTGCAAGTTGCTCTGCAAAGCCTCCACTGTCTCCAAGAGTTTCTTTTGCAGCTCCTTCTTTGTGTACACACAGTCTTTCTTTGGCTTTGCCGCAACCGCTTGCAGCCGGCGGATGAGCCTCTCCCGCCTGGCCAGGTCACCCTTGTCCGGCTGCTGGCACTGGTAGCGCGTCAGCTTGCTCTGCACTTTGCTGAGCGTACTCCGTCGCCCACACTTCTGGCAGAACCATTGTCGGCTGAACTGGTAGCGTCCCCTCACTCCGCAGTACTCTGGCGCAAACACGGGCCGCGCATCATGGTCCCCCGTGGCACCTCGAAGCCGTGTAATGGCAGGTGCCACGGCCGCCCCACTCATGCGTATGCTGCGCTTCTGCCCCAGCGTTGGCTCGCGACTGTTGCTGTCGCTTCCACTCTGTTCTGCTTTCCACGCCATGCCGCTGCTTTGCGTGTTGCCACTTGGCATCTCTCACCTTAATCGTGGAGTACTTGCTCATTTCACTGCTGGCAATGCCGGCTTGGCATTTCGGCTCTGGGCAGTGCCACCCTGTGGCCTGCTTGGGCAAGTGGGCTACCAGTCTGGTGATGGCGTGTGCGTCAGAACCGTTAGCTCTGGAGAGCGCCTCCCTCTGTTCCTGTCAAATGGGCGCACTTGCCTGTCCACACTTTGCGCAGCGTTTTTTCCCTCTCGCGCACAGGGGGCATGTCCACCCAACTGTGTCATGCGTCGCAAACCGGGACTGATGCTCTCCTCGCAAGTGCCGGACGCTGCGCTTGCGCTGGGCCTCTTACCACGGGCCGTGACCCTTGCTCCTGCTTCCGCTGCTGTTGCAGCTGCAGCTCAGGGGCTTCCACCTCCTCCATTGTCGTCTTGACAGCACTGGCGCAGGCGCTGGCTGCCAGGGACTTTTTGATTGTTCAGACTCTTGCTAGCGCTTGCTTTGGCAGGGCGCTTACTGCTGTGTGTGAACACTGTGCGGGGAGACGATGTTGTAAACACCGTCTTCACTGACTTGCCAATTCTTCGAAGGGGTTTCCGCGGTTTGCCGCGCTGGGAGAGCACCACAGTCGGCACGGTGCCCTTCTCGCACTTTGGCTTCAGCCAGTCGTAGTGCGACCCATTGTACCAGAGCACTATGTTTCCAGTCGCTTTTTCAGTATCATGGAAAACCATGACTTCCTCCGCCTCATTCTCTGGCATCACATAGCTGCGCTTGTTGTACAAGCAAGCAGCTGCCGTAATCTCCAAGTACCCTCCCCAAGAGGTCTGTTGCTGCATGGTGGAGATGTACTGGTTGAAATCGTCACACGCTCTGCCATCCGGGTATGTCTTGTCCCACAGGTCTTTGTACCGCTGCTCGTGCCGCAGCATGTGCGCTGTGAGCTCTGCACGCACCTGGCGTCCGTGGACTGGCTTGGCACGGCCTCCCGAAGTGGCAGCCGCTACAGCGTGAAAGAGGCACGCCCCATCCTTGGGGATGTTGATCAGCTCTATTTTCTCTGGCACCGCTCCGGTTCGGTGCAGGCTCCTCAACCTCCATGTCCCTGTCCGGCGGCTCATGCCCAGCCTTGCCAGTTGGCTGTCGCCCCTGCTGCTGTTGCTGCTGCTGTGCCTCCGGCAACTCCGCATCCGACAAGGGTTTGGCCACCGGCTTGGCAACCCGAGTCGCGCTGCCCTCCTTTTCTTTGCCGGGGACCCCCTGGACTGTGGATTTCTCCCATATGGACCAAGCCTGTCTCTGAGCCGTTTTCCGGCCGCTCTGCGCTAACCTGGCCCACAGTTCCAGCTGTTGCCCTTTGCTGTCCAGTGTCAGGACTGGCTGGACATCCTGGTCCGGCGGTGTCGTTGCCTTGAACCACCATGTAGTCACCCCCCTCCTCACTTGCCGGCGGATCACTTCCACCTCTGTCAGAGCCTTTTGCTCGCACAGCACCTGTCTCACCACCGCCTGTTGTCTATCTGCCACATACGCTTAGACGATGCGCAGACTTCCGGCTCAACTCTGATGCCAAGCTGGCGGTCGCCTCTGGCCAGGCCCCATTGTGGCGCCTTGTCAAGAAGCTGCTGCAAGTAGGCGTCAGGCGTCTCGCTTGTCTGCGGTTCCCACTGCACTTTCACACGCGGAAGCGGCTCTTCCCACCTCAAGGGTTCCACGAAAACCCCGCCTCTGCCACTGAGACCCAGCAGTTGGTCCACTGCGTCCTTCTTGCTGAACTGCCCCTCCACCCGCAGCAGGCCCACCACTGCCTGTTGCCAGCCTTTCTGCTCCCACTGCCAGCCCCAAGTATCCTGGATGCTTTGCCGCACACTCACTGGTAGCTGTTGCATCCACTCTTGCACGCCTTACGCGGGCGCGCTTGGGCGCTGGTCCACATGCTTGGTGTTGCATAGTTCCGTCAACTAGCACCCTCAAGACTTCCGTGTGGTGTTCCATCGGCCTAGTGGCCGCCAGGTTGCGTCGCATGAGCTGCGGCACCTGGCATCCATCTCCCATCCTCAAGGTTTTCACCTTCTGCAGCACTGTCTTCCCTTTGCACTCACCTGGCACTTGCGGAGGTTCCACCTCCATCGCCAGCGCCGCAACGCGCGGCACACCTGCCAGCATGGCTGCGGCTGCGCTCGCTTCCTCCTCATCTGCGGCCTGCGCTACCGCTCTGAACTCCTGCTTCGAGTCATGTAGCTGCAGCTTGTCCGCTAGCCCTGTATGTCACCGTGTCGGCAACCCAGTCTTTACCCCGTATCTTCCACTCAGTCAAGTCTGGTCGCTTGCACTGGCTGTTGCAGCAGCTTTGCCTTTGCCTTTGCCTTGGCCTTTTCCTGCTGGCTCGGCCGTCAGGCCTTTGCCACCAGGCTGGTTCTGCGCTGTGTTTGTGACTTTCACAACTCTTTGGGTGCCCACACCCGCCGCGTTGTTTGCCACTTCCCCATCTTCTGTTTCTTTGGCTTTGGAACACTAGTGACCAACTGTGTCCCAAGCATCTCTGCGGCTGACTGCAGCACTGGCTCAAGGTGCCCGAGACCTTGCGCGCCGCCCAACACTTGTGTCAACAGCTGCATCAGTTGCAGCAGCAGCCCCAGAAGGGGTTCCACTTTCTCACACCGCTTCACCTACTCTAACGCCTAGAAGGCCACCTCTCGTGGGCTCGGTGTCCAGGACCACGCAGCCGCTGCTGGGGCGAACCGTCCAGTTTGACAGTGAGACGTCCGTGGGGTTCAGGATCTGCTCGCCGATGGCGGCCACCGCCTTGTCGGCCCCTCTGTCGTCCGGAAAGCGCACGGCTATTTGCAGGGCCGAGGCTGCCTCCGTGACTCCAAGCTTGCCGGCTAGGAGGCCGTTTGTTTGCGCGATGGTGTAGTAGCTGAGATGCTCGACGCCGTTGCTGTGTCCTGGTCGGCGGCCGAGCGGTACACCACCAGCGCCGAGGTGATCTGGTTGGTCGTGAAGACGTCCTGGTCCGGGCCCGTCCGGTAGGTTCGTGGCGTACGAGGCCAGCAGCGTCGCGTCGGGAGCGCCGAGATGCTGGCGTCACGGCTGGCAAGCTGCGCTGCGACGAAGGCCTCGGTGGCGAGACCCAGCAGGGCGTTTGCTATCTTGGTGTCCACCTCCAGTGGCGTGTCCAGCCCGTCCACTGTGGAGAGCAGGGCGGCCAGCGTGCTGGCGTCCGCCTTGCCGGCAGGGCTGCCGTGGTGGCTGCGCCCAGGAGGGCTGACGGGCACCGCCTGGTGGAACGGAGATGGTCACCCGAATTTTGCATGTTTTTTGTATGATTTGAGATTGCACCCCTCTTGCGCCCCTTTTGCACCCCTCTTGCACCCCGTTTGCACCCCTTTTTGTACCCCCTCTTTTTGCTCGTTTTTTGCATGTTTTTTTCCTTGATTTGGGATCCCCGCCCAAAAAAGAACGTGTTGGGCGGAAAAGTATCAAGCCCAGACCCCACCTATTTGGCCGAGTGTCAAGCCAAATCCCAAACCCCCCACCCCGACCTGTTACCTCCAGGCCACATCACCTGTCGCACCCTCAGCATCATCTGCAGTCTGCAAAAAAACAAGAAACTTGTTGGGCGGACTGACCAACATCAAACAAAAGAAACAGAGTGGGAACCCTTTCGCTCTCTTCGCACACTCTCCCTCCCCTTTTTCTCCAAACCACCTCACTCTCCAGCTCTCTCAAAAAAAGACCGCAGCAGGAAAACGCAGGCCTCCGCATCAGCCGTATGATTTGCATGCCTGCCGGGAGCATAGGGCTACAAAAAAAAACAAGAGTAAGCCTCCGACATGCCAGTGGGTTGGGCGAGCCAGTAGCAAACGGGTCGAAATCACCTGACTCTCCAGCTCTCTCAAAAAAAAGAGACTCCAGCATGAAGAACGCGGGCCTCCACATTGGGCGTATGATCTGCATGGCCTGTCAGGAGACTCCTGATCTGCATGGCCTGTCAGGAGCGTAGCAAGGTCATGGACTGTCGCAGGAAAAAGAAAAGGCGCAAGAGTCAGCCTCCGGTGCGCCAACGGTTTGGGCGAGCCAGTAGCAAACGTGTTGAAAGCCACCTGACTCTCCAGCTCTCTCAAAAAAACAAGACTCCAGCAGGAAGAACACGGGCCTCCACGTCGGGCGTACGATCTACATGGCCTGTTGCGAGGTCATGCGCAGTCAAAGAAAAACAAGCACAAGAGTCAGCCTCCGAAACAACATAGCTGCGGCGATCACACACAAAGGTCACAACTCCAAGTCTGTCAATGGCACGCAAGTCTGTTTGGCAAACAAAAACAAATCTCAGCACGTCTTTGTCATCGTTCCACCTGTTCGAGATGCGCTGTGCGGCGCGAGGGGGTATGTTGGCCCAGCTGTACAGTGGCACAAGATGCCCAGTTCTCAGGAACGTTGGCCTAAAACGGTGGCTCGTTCGCCACATTGAGGATTTTTTTTTGCTCCCCTTTGCCGAATACACCCGCTTACCTCTGACTGTCTTCGGGACCAGCGCCTCCTGCAGCAGTCTGTCAAGTTGCTTGCCGGACAGCTTGAGCCCCTTCACCACATCGTGGTCGCGGAAGAACTTCCGAACATCGCCCTGCGAGCTGGCCAGGGCAGCGTTGGGGCTGAGCGGTATGGAGTCGAGGACCTCCCTGATATCCTGGAGCTGCAAGGACTCAAACAGGTGGGCATGCCAGAACCGACTGCGTTCTCGGCCCCACCAGCGTGCTGACACTGTCTCTCAAGAACATCAGATCCACTTCCTTCAGGATGATCTCCATGGACGGGATCACATTCGCCAGGAGAAAGTCTCGCTGCTTCAGTTTGTTCCGAAGCTGTCTCTTGTTGCTGTTGGGCGCCGGCCTGGCCACAAACTTGAAAGGCCGCAGAATGGCCGTGAAGCTGCGCCTCATACCACCGTCAATCGCACGAAATTCAAAAGAGGCGTTGCTGGAGAAGTTCATCATGAATTGTGGTCGGAAGCGCACTTGCTTCCACGAAGGACGATTGATCTCGGAGATCTTTCAACATCCCACTCCTCATCTTCACTCCAGCTTCCACTTCGTTGACCGACATCGATCGACGGCCTCGCAGCTGAAGTAGCGGTATGGAGGTGCCTGAAGGGTCTGAGAACGCAGAAAACACATCGGCTTTGGGCTCGACGTGGTAGTCGCCGCAGAAGGTGCGAAAGAGGGCCTTCAATTAGCCCTTTCCTCAACGGGCTGTACCGAGCAAGCGCCAGGCACGGCGTCGGCTCCCCCACGTGCGTCGCAGCAAACATCTCTTGAGTTTTGACCCTGGTAAGGATCTCCGCCCCTCCTCCGTCATCTTGCTTACTAAACCTTCCGATTTGTTGTTCTTCGCCGGGCCTTGCGCGGGGGGATCATCATGGGCACGCATCAACAAGACTCGCGGAGTTGACACCGCAGAGAAAATCGAGGCCAAACAGAAGGAATTTTGGAAATTGTTTGAACGGTTCGTTGAAATCAAACGGCATGCCATGACGAAACGCGCTGCGATTTTGTTTGAGTTGCCTGGAAGTTGCGATTATTGGAAGGATGAGAGACTGCATGAGGTTGTTCATGATGATGATGGCATTAGTCATGAGTTTGATGGGTGTCGCTATGGCTTGAAGCAAAGGTATGCGAAGAAACCCATGCCAATCAAGAAACCATATGGAGAGTTGTTTCGTGGAACTTTGACCTTGGCAGCTCGTTGTCTAAGAAGTGTAATGGAAACCATGAACATGGACCTTGTGCTGGTCGGGAAACCAAGGAAACCCAGTTGTACACGTCGTTAATTGTGTGTGTGATCCTCCGTCGTTTTCGTGCTCGAGCAAAGTGCCTTCAGCCGGCACCATTGAAACTCGCTCTTGCTTGCGTTACGCGAGGGAATTCGCGGAAGCATCAAGCTGCTGCGTGTGAGATTCGCACCGACCCGACTGTACCAAAGAGGAGCTGGGCTAGTCCCGAACCTCAGGTTCCAACGAAGAACTGGGCTAGTCCCGAACCTCAAGTTTCGACGAGGAGTTGGGCCAGTCCCGCACCTCAATTAGAAGCTGGGCATATTGGGACTATTCTGTGGCTTTATTTGTAGCTGCCTATTTTGGGTTTTCCCGGTTCTGGAGAATATCATCAAGATGATTGCCAATGCGACCGTCGTCAATACAAATGAATTCTTCTGCGTGCCTGTTGGGAAATCCAGGCAAGCGGCAATATTCTTGGGGAACCTCGTGAAGAACGCCATCGAGGAGGGCAAAAGAATCCCCAAGAGAATGGAAATGGGCAGCGACCTGGGTACATGCATAAAGTGGATCGAGGACATCGGCGTCCCCGTCATCTACGCCTACTCAGCGTACTATTCTGCCAAGTGCCGCGAAATGATGAAAGGAGAAGGGCAATCCATGAGGGTTGCGTTGGAGTTTATCAGTAAGATTTTCGGACAACTTTCTGCTGACGAATGTATGCTTGGTTGGAGGGAATTCTGCAGCAAAGGGAAGAAGATTGTGGCGGCGCTGAACCAGCTTTGCGGTAAGGCATCACTACTAGCAAAGAATCCTGAACTGCTCAATGTCACCAAGTATTGCGTCGAGGGGGCAGATATGTTGAGATCCATCACAGATATCTGGGATCTCGCATCAGGACAAGGAAGAACGGTCTTTCGCAGCTGCATTCCACCAAGACACTCCGGTCAGGGAAGTCTACAAAGAGTTCATCAGTGATGAACCAACCAGGACCTCGTCGTCAAGGAGGTGGAGGAGCTCCAAGGAGTTTCTGACAACTGCAGAGTTCAGAATTGCGAAATTCAGAGATCGAAGCTGGGGGAAGGTATTCACGTTGAGCGTGATCAAGGCTCCCAAGGTTGACTTCTGCGGTCATGGCACAAGAGCCGACTACCAGAAGAATTGGGATCTTGGGCTGACCTACCAGAATGAGCTGCGCGCGTCGATGAAGAACCTGGCGTATGCAATGAGAAGAGATGAAAGAGCTCATCAGCACAACCTTTTGCGCTGGATGATCTGTGGGTCAACCCCCAACGACATCTCTGACGCACGCATCGGAGCAATCGACTCACTCATGTGCGTTTCCTTCATCATGAGGAGGCTGCAGCCATTGGTCGGGGAAAGGCCTGCTACGGATCAGTCGTACACAGTTTACTTCCGTCAGGACAAGTCCGAGCTAAGGGACCTCTATCGGGGCATCGACATGATCTACAAATCAACGCTGCCTGCGATGAACATCAACTCCATCAGCTTGGCGCCACACGCGGCTGACAGGGCCGCTGAGAACCAAGATCGGCGCAAGTGGGTAAGCTGGCTGAAGGAGATTGAAAAGAAGGCGGAGAAGGACAACGTGATCGACTTCGACCAGAACACCTACTGCACCGTTAACGAAGCCGACAGGGAACTGGAGAGGTACCCCGAGGACTTCGCGATCGGAGAGGAGCCGACGTGGTGGGTAATGGGTTCATCGAAGACGGAACCGCCGCAGAAGACGGAGCGACAGTCCCCCAGCAGGGAGCTTCAAGTGGGGGGTCGTATGCAAGCGATGCCGTCAAGATCGACAACGAGATCATCGACTCCATATTCCGCATGAACTCCGGTGGTGATGATGACAGATGGACAATCATCAACCCAACTGCTGGGCTCGACACATACACCTCATTCGAAGGGGGTATTACTCTGAGTGGCGCAACTGTCAGCGTGAAGTTCAACATAGACGCCAACACAGGGCACCCAATCATACAAACTGTATTTGGGCCGTGTCTCGCGGATGGGAAGAACGCGACATATTGGGAGTGTATGCTGAGATGCCTGACTTCTTCGCTGGTACATTTCGAGGAGAAGACCAGCGCAGAGAAGGTCATTCTTTCCTATGTTAGAAAAGGGAATGCGGCATGGCTTCAGCTGTATGCTTTCATGTGTGCCCAAACAGGATGCTTGATTACTGGACGCCTTCCGGGCGCCAAAGCCATCAGTGCGTTGATACAGGCAGAGAAGAACCCAGATCAAGGAGCAGAAAAGGGGCCCCATTGGGGGGGCAACGATGCGCGACAAGATGAATCAGAAGAAGAGCTTCTTGGTCCTGGATTGGCCCCTGAGGGCTGTCAATGCAAAAGGGAGCACGAAGACCTTCCAGATGATGGTCAACGAACAGGGATGGACAAACATCGAGGAGAGATCGTGCTACGGTTCGAGTGAGCAAGTCTCCTCGTCCGCAGATACGATGAACATCATCTCCCGATTGCAGAAACTGGAGAAGCTTATTGTCGAACGACGGAGGCGAGACATGGATGACTCACCTGTGTCGGTGCACATTTGGATGTCGCTCTATGACTGGGTGTGCATGAGGGGGTGTGGGTGGCAGGTGACCGCCAACCCCATCATTGACTCATTGCAAAAGACGATACCCGACCTCGTCAACACGTGCAGGGGCTTGGTCGTGGTGTGCGTGAATCGCGACGTGGCTTTCCATGGAGGAAGAGGACGATCGCCAACAAGGTGAGCGAGATCTGCAAGGCGGCAGGCGCGTTGGTGACCGAGAACGATCGCCTGTGGCGCGTTGCCCACGCGCTCGCAGGTAAGAACTACAAGATCCCTGGAAGCTCGAATCTGCTCTTGAAGCGATTGTTGGTGGAGAAATCCATCGACGTGATCGCGCCAAGCAACGCGTTCGTGTGTGAGCTGGAGGAGACATGCATAAGCGAGCCCGACCTTCGCTTCAATATTCCGAAGAACATGGAGGAGTGGAAGGTGAAATTCGAGTACAAGCCGACCTTCACTGCTCAATCGAAACGGAGGCAAGAACGGCAGGATGAAGGACACGGCGGACAAGATGCGTTTGGGATCAACGATCAACGTCTTCGATGGTGTGCGGTCACCGAGCTCAGTGAGTTAATCTGCGAACTTTGTGTGAAAGAAATGCAGATGAACAAGTCGAAGGTGCTCGGGTCAAACTCAAAATACAATATTTTATTTCTTGCGTGAACTGTTGCGCGAACTGGAATGCGGACACGAACGGTGTTGTGAGATCAACCGAAGGGAGGAAGCTGTATACGCGACTTTTCGCAGAATGCGTGGTTGCAATCCCGGATCTTCAACATCTCATGGAGAACGTCAACAATGTTCAGGCCATGACCACGATTATACGGGAGCTTGCGTATTCCAAGCTGAAGAAAGAGCTATCCCACGTGGGTTTCGTGAGCATGACAATGGATCAGGCAGCACAGTTCTACAATAGCGGACACGGGAAGCAATTGTGTGCATCCCGGATGTGATCACGCGCAAGAATTCCGAGGGAGTTGGTCGCCGGGAACGTGAGCCACACGACGGGCCAGAACTGAAAGCAGAACACAGCTCGGGGCGCCCACGAAAGAAGTGTTGGACATCATGAACACGGTCAAGCCCAGACATCCGCGATCCCTGACGGCCGAGCATGCCGCCCAAGGATCCAAGAGGAAGGCGACAGAGAGTGAAGGCGACGGTCTTGGTCAAGTGCCAGACCCGAGCTTCGCTCTCAACGTGAAAGAAGAGAAGAAGCAGCGAGTGATTGATGGGCGGAGAGCTGCGCTCGAGTTCCGAGTCTCAATGGAAAAGTGCATGGGAGAGATGGGAATTTGCATGAGATGCGCGAACCTGGCCCACGACGGTGACTGCAAGAACTATGAGGAGGCTGCTGGGAACGAGAAGGCGATGAAGAAGATCCGTGAGCTTCTCAGCAGCGATCATGTTTCCTCGGATGAAGAAATGGGGGATACGGAAGAACCGTCCTCATCGGCGTCCAAGGAACGCAAGAAAGGAGGACAAGAAGGGAAAGAGACAATAGAAATGTATAGCTATACCATCAATCTGGTGGAGATGGCTGACACGGCTGAGGGAGGAGAGCTACAACGCGGTGGCGTGGACCTCA